AGTGCTTTTTCTATTAGTCTCAGAGTATTGAAAAGCTTATATTCTCCCGTACAACATCATAAGTAATTAAAGCAATGAAATTTCTACAGTCAACGACAGCTGATTTCCCTCTGCCCTTTTTAGCTAAGTAATTATTTTCCATTTTTAGCCAACAGAATTAAGAGCCATTAAAGACTAGGATAACTTGTTGGTATTTCTGATGATTTACCTGTTTAGTGTGCAGTGAGGGGTTTTTGTGCTTGTTTCTTACTGATTTTGTTAGTGTGTAGTGACTTTTTATGCTGTAGCCAACAGTGAATTATTTTTCTGCCAGTAAATCTGGAGAAAGATGATGTATAAGATTATAAACACAGTAGGTTTGTACTGGTAGTGAGACTATTTGAAGTTAACTTCAGTTTATAGATACCTCTTGAGGCTTTACCTATAGTCAAACACAAGAACTAGCATTTTCTAGAGGATAAATCTGAATTATTTACTGAGGGGAGCCTGTTTTTATCTAAAAAACTGGGAACCTCGGTGGGTTCACCTCACAGGACTACAGTGAGCTTTTGTATGCTCCTCCTTCACCCTCGCAACGTTCAGTCCTTCTCTTGAGTAATTTATAGTCTCCAGGCCAAAATCTGCTCCTGAGGACATGAGTCTAAATTAAAGGCACTGGAGCCAGCAGAGTGGCTCTAAACATAAACTGGGGTTACTCCAGGGTGGGCTATGGCAGGGCAATGAGAAATGTCAGCAGATTGCAAGGAGTAAAGCAAGGTAGATCAAGGACACCTGATAAAAACCCAGGTACAGAGAGCGAAGGCAACAGCTCAGCCACGCGACCCAAGTAGCTCCCACGCAGCAGAAGGATGTTACATTTCTGGAGAGCGGTTTTTCCCCAGTGGGGTAGAAAAACTCTCCAAATTCGGATTCGAAGACTTCGGCCTTGTTGCCTGTGGCTTAGGATTCCTCTAACGGGAACAGCAGGATTTACTCCTTTGAAATAGGGCAAGTTTTTTCTTTATCTCCTTGCCCTGCGAAGCATAAAATGTTGTCTGGAGTAAATACGTTTAGGGGGAAGCATTTGAATAATCCAGGTATGGTTTGCCGTGCCCCAGACAGGGGCATAATAGTGTGATCAGAAGCATCTTCTACATGACAGTAAAGACTAGTTTATGTAGGCAAACACTTGGAAGTTCAGCGCAGTGGGTTTTTCCCAAGTAGTCAGGCTGTTATTTTTATTATTTATGTTCATATAGCATCTATTAGCCCAAGGTGCTGCATTAAGTGGTTGACAAACTCAGCGATGACTCCGTTAATTCTCATGTGCAGGAAACCTCCCTCTGGGCCTGGTTCAATAGACACAAAAGTGTCTAACTGATTTAATCAACAGGAAAAATTTCCATTTAATTACCAGGAGACTGTTCCATGGGTAAGGTTACCTGAATGATTGTTTTTGTAATTAAGAATTCTGTTTTTATTTGACAGAGGTGAACCAGAAATAGCTTTTTTTTCCCTTGTAGAACTTTGACAAACATGAGAAAGAAATTTGCTTACATTTTCAGTAGAAAATGTCTTTTCGTGTTCCCAAGGAAAGTGAAGTGCCAGGGCTATTTTTATCCTCAGCCCAACTTTTTGGATCCTGAGTGCTCAGCCTTTAATGTCATTCAGCCTGTGGTTCAGAGACTGTTTGTCCGCAATCCCCTTTTTCTACACTGATTCCAGTAGAAGAGATAAGACCCTTTTGTGACAGTGAAAAAGAGAGTCAATGAGATAATGACTGAGTAAGAGAGATAGGAAACTCTTTGTACCCCTCCCTGAGACAAAACATTAAGCAGGCTGCTGAGACTGTGTTTAGGATGAATAATCTAAGTTTAAAACCATTGAATTGAGATACAGTGATCTCCCTAGCTGAGCACTCAAGCTAGGGAGAGGCTTTTTTCTCCCCTCATCTGCTGGGCAAGGCTTGTGTCCTTGTTGCAAGCCAGTCTCTCCTGGTGCAAGCGGGAGGGCTGACTTGGTATTTTGATTTTTTATCAGGCCAACCTTTACACTGAAATAAAATCTCTCCTTACAGCACTGCAAAGAAGTTGCTCTGGATTAATGTTTTTGCACGCAATTTACTGTAGTAGAAAAGAGAAATTGTAGAGTTTAATGTTTTCTCATTGCAACAGCAAAGGCTACGGCCAGCCTGCTCTGACACAGGAAAAGTGGCCTCCCATTTCCGCTTAACCACAAATGCAGCAGACCCATGACACAAACGCGGGCCGCAGCGAGAGCGCATTGCTTGGCAGTGGTTTGCAAGCATTGTTGCAGCAGCACCTCCATCCCACAGAGGGCAAGGAGGTGTTGGAGGCAGGAGCAAGACTTCTTCCCTTGCTTTGTGCCTGGGCTTGAAATTTGGCGGTGTGGTCAGGCCATCGCAAGCTTTAAGCTCTCCTGGCACCTCCACTGCCACAACACCCCTGCTCTCAGGTCAGCTTCAGACTACTTTTCGGTGTCTGTCTGCCAGCCCAGCTCCTCTCCCCACTTCAGTTCGTCCTCTGTTAAAGCTGTTAACTTCAGCATTGCCCGTGTTTCTTTCTCTTCTTCTCACCTTAACACCTTGGGGACTCCTGAACCGAGGTCTGCAGAGAACCACCACATCCTCATTTGTAGCTTTCTTATGTTCCTGTAAGGGCCTGGCACAAAGCAATGAGAGGTGAAACAATCAAAGCTATTTCTTTTAGTAGATATCAAAGGCCTAGCTCCTTCCTGTCCTTCCACTTCTCGTGTCTCTGTCTTCTAGGCAGCAAGGTCTTTAGAGGAAGGCTTGACCTTGGTAAGAGAAGAAAAGAAGATATGGAAAGAATATGTGGTTTTGTGGTAAAGGCATCATTTTGGCCTTCAAGAAATCTGCACTTCTATGTCACTTAATTTTTCTGAGCCTCCATCCCCATCGGTAAAGTAGCTGTAGGAAAAATGCAGGGGAAGGGTAATCCTGTTTGTGTTTGTACGTTGCTCATGTATGTTAATAATACAGCCTTGTAGGTACAGAGAGAGGCAATCCCTTTTAGGTGTTTTTCAAGCATGTTTCAAGGACGTATACCACTATATCAGCACCAAGTCAGTTCAGTTCAGGTTTTCTCCCTCTGAGGCTGAGCGTGTGGCATGGCTCACACCCAAACAGCTGAAGTCTGTTGCGCTCCACAGCATCCCCCCAGACCGGATGGTCACATCCGAATGTGCTCAGGGACCGGTCCCTGCACAAGCACAAACATTGCTTGGGGTGACTTTGGCACAAGACTGCTAAGGCTCATGCTGGCAATTAAATAGGAAACAGATGATCCTGGGCCATTTGTTGCAGCCGGTGCCCTGAGCGTGTTTTATCCTATAGTTTGGATGTCACCTTTGGTTTTATTTTTGGTCTTTATCATTCCATATATTTTCTTGCTTTGTGAGTTATTGTGTTTAGTTAAGTATTAATTGCTCGGGCTGGCATATGGCCTTTTTTTTTTGTATTGTTGGGGGAGAGGGGTTAGAGGGAAGAAAGAATGATTTTTTTCAGGATTTTTTCTCAATTGTATCTGTCTCTGTTTACTTTTCTGTTCTTTTAGGCTGGCTAGAGGTAATGGCTCTTAGCATGCTTGATACACCATTGTGTAGAGGACTTTGAGTAAGGGTTTTATTTCATAAACATGAGAAGTGGGCTCTTATCCCTGCAAAAAGAGTGGCAATTTCACTGTTATTTCCATTGGACTACTTTATTTGAGGTAGAATAGGTAATAGAAGATTCAAGGATATTGCAAGTCCTTATAGCAGGTTCCAAATATACCATCTCCTCTCTGATTTGCTACTCGATTCATAGGCGCATCAAAGTTATTTATGTGGATAAACATCACTTTGATTTAACAGCACATAGGCAGGCGTACTTGGAAGGATTTTAAAAGCACCCTTTGAAGAGTCATGCCAGTCTAAAAACCTAAACATTAATGCTCCTGAGCTTTGGAAAAAGGTGGATCTACATTCGTATCTAAATGTTGCAGCTCATTTCCATTTCGAGGCTGCATCAGAGCAAATCTTGAGATCTGAGACTTCTTGTGGGAGGGAGGAAACAGTGTTCAGCTACGTGGAATACAAAGGGAAATCTTTATTCAGGCTGCTGGAAATAGTCCTTCTGGCTCCCTGGCACTTGGACTGTTATATTGCCACCTGGGATACCCACCTTTGTTACTCTCGGGAAAGCCTGCCAGCTCTGACTCTTTTGGTCAGACTTTGCATCACCAAATATGGCTTCTTTATAATATGGTAGAGCTACTGCAGAGACTGAGAGAGAGTGCAATGCTGATCTACAGCAATTTAAAATCTTCTTGAACTGGCAGGCTTATGGTTCATCATGTAGATTTTGGATAATTGCTCTGCGGGGGTAACGCTGACACTATTTCATCCCAAAAGTATCAGAAAAAGCACTGCACATCTCAAGAAATGCTCTACTTCCGTGTGCAGGCTGTTTGTTGTCAGCCCCATCTAGTCCAAGGAGCAACCAGCCTTTACCCCTGCTCACGCCAAGATCAGCCATGAGAAATGACCAGCCTCACAGATCATAGAAAATGTCCTCTGCCCAACCACAGAAAGAGAGCAGAGTGAATTGAGGCGATGTTTTGGCTTTAGAAAATGTGTAGCTTGGCCCACAGACCCCACACATGCCACCCACGACTGGCTTTCAGAAGAAAATTCGTGAAGAAACAATGCCACGGCGGCCACAGAGTGTTATGCTGTGGTCAGTGCTCATGTTCGGTGCTGTAAGAGCTAGGCAGTTCTGCACATTCCTCTACCGTTGGCATCCTGTCTTTGGTCAGTTAAGTCACCATTTTTGAGTAAAGGCAGAACCTCAGATATTTTTTTCCCCTGTACACTCATCTGCCATGGAGCATCTCAAGAAATGAAATGCCCAGCGACACCTGAAATTCTTTTATGGTGCAGGGTGCTTCATCACATGATGGAGATGACTATATTCACTCTTCTTGTTTGTTTGTTTGAAGGTTGCGTGCTTGTGGTCTCTGTAGTTGAACAGCTTGCACAGTGGCACAACAGTACAGTAAAGGCAGCCTTGGAGAAACTATGCAACTACATACCTGGTGAGTATGAAATACTGTGCCCTGTGCTATGTTGGTACTGCTGTATTTCTCTGGTAATTAGAAATCTGCACTTGAGTCTGAAAAAGCTGTCTGCTTCTCGTGTAGCATCTAAAATTAGTGTAGCTGAAAGACAGCAAGGTGTTACCAGCAGGGAAGCCAGTGGCATGACTCACTGGACTCAGTGCAGCTGGGATTTCATCCCGAAGTTACAGTAGTGGGGTTGGTTGTATTAAGTCCACATGCATGTGTGCACACACACGCACCTTTCCACACACATTTGTCTCCACTTTATTTGAGTCTTTGTAAGCAGCTTAAAAATAGTCAGGTTCACTGTATGTCCAACCAGTTATCTTTGTTATTGATATGGGTCTTTACAGCTACGGTGAAGATGAGAATGTTTTCAGGTATAGGAAGCCACTATTGTAAAATCACAACAATTAGCTGAGGGTGGCAGGTGTAAGATGTGAACCGTTTGATCTGCACAGAGAAACTATTGAAATGTAACCGATGATACAAATTTCAAAAGTGATAGCTATTCTGTGTGAACATATACAGACTCCTCTTGTTCTCCCCCTTATTTTAGCAGCTCAAAGGCACTTGGCTGTCTAAAAGCACATCTCTAAATAGAGAATGGTTGGAATAGCAGAGTAACTTGCCTCATAGATGAGTTCTGTAAGTGACTACATTTCATGTTCATGATGTCTTTTTAACTTTATGAATGCAGAACGATGGCCTAGGATTCTTCATTAAAAAGTCATTAATACAGGATTTCATGAATTGTATCTCTGAGAAACCATCTTGCTCTATAGTCCCTAGTTTCATAGAAGATATCTGTGGAATATTAATTTTCTCCTTTCTAAGACATAATTTCCTGATACAGGATGGGGCACAGAGGTAATTGCTGAAATTCATTCACTGATAGAATAATGCTTATCTGATTTCTATTTCGTAAGTCATATCCTCAGTGTTTTAAATTACAGGCACATAACTATGAAGTTGCAATTAGAAGCCCTGATCCTGCTATTAAAATACAATTTTCTTCTGTAAAATATCAGTTGCTAGGTCTATGGTCATGCTTCACTCAGTGAACTTTGTTCGGCTAACACGTCAAGATATTTCTGTACAGCTGCCATTCTTTACACATAAAATCCTATTATCCCTTCAGTTAAATCTGTGTAATCCAGTTACCTTCCGTAAGATGCATGGATACAGACAAGAGAAAAAATTGACCCTGAATATGAAACGAGTGCAAAATCCTGTGGATCATGGAGGAGCTACCACCTAACCCAGCTTATCTTCTCCCAGGTGGTAAACTCCAAAATATGAATCAACAGCTTCTTCTTGCTACTTGAAATAATGGTGTTGGACTCATTAGGAGAAAACCTATTAAAGCAGGCCATGCCATTTTAGCTGAATGAATAATTTTGTTATTTTAACATATGCCTACAATTGCTTGCAAGTATAACAGTGGCAAATTGATGGCAATGAGGCTTTTGCTAGGGACCAAATAGGAATAAGAATTTGGTCTTTTTATGGGCCTATATAATTTTCTTGCAACAAAGGGGCAGATCAGGCCTTCAGTGAAGTTAGATGCTGTTCAAGAGCAAAAATGTTTAGAAAAAAACAGAGAGATAAATTTAGTACCTCCAGTCACACCAAATCCCTTAGACGGTGCAGAAAACACAATCATGTCCTTATTTACATGGAAATATTTGTTGTGCATGTGATCAAAGCAACATGGCGTATACTCTGATGAGAGATAAGGGCACTCACACCATGAGTGAAGGAGCCTCCCGAGCATACACAAACGTCAGGTCTGGGGGAACGGGCAGTATTTATGGCATAAGAGTCGTTGTTAGCAAGAATATATGTTTACTTGGGTACTGGCTGGCTGCCTGATGAAACAGAGGTGCCTGATATGCAACGTGTGCTTTGAGACCGTCGGTCTCTGGCATCACCTCTGAGTCATGCCCTGCTTCTGTGTCAGTCACTGCTGTGTAAACACCTTACAGCTCAAGTGGAAATGGCAACGTGATTAATACCGTCTTCCATGCAAATATTTGCCCTCTGGGATTCAGCCAGAATCTGTGTTTCTAGGACTGTGAAGCTGCAGAGGAAAATCCACAGGATTTTTATCACAATAAGAACAAGACAGTTAGGAGTTTTGCACAACCTGAAGTTGGGCAAAAGCAACTATGCTCATTTCTGGCCAAGCACCTCCAGGTTTTTTTCAAAATTTTCCAGCTTTTAATTTATTTGATTTAAGCTCTGCTCTTGTCCCTGAACACTCCAAATTATTCATAATCTCTCTTCCCCCTCTTCTAACTTACACAGCTTCATCCTAAAAGAGCTTTCTTCCCATAATACCCTATTTTTGTGTATATTCAGCAAAGTAAGCGGTTTGTGAACATACGAGTACAGTCTGGCTTGGAGAGCAAGACTTGCAAACCATGCCTGTGTCTTGGGCCTCTTTTACTGGAAGCCAAAGCCTGAATGGTGTACATATCTTCTATGACGACTCTATTTGCCCAACAAAAATTTTGCGTTATTGCCGTTTCTTTTGCCTCTCATCACTCTCCCTTTTGTTATCCCATTGAATAATTATATGTTGAGCTTCCTATGCTCACAAGGAAATCTCTGCCGAGAAATCGGTTTCACTAGCAGACCCCAGCATCAGCTTCCCACAGTTGACAGCCGGCCAAACCCTCCCCTCCTCACAGTTCCCACTATGGGTTATGGCAGCCAGCTGGCTCCTCCAGGGCCAGAAACGTTATGGAAACCAGTTGGCTTGGGAAACCTTTAAGGAGACTCTCCCGGGATGTGCTGAGGAGCTGATAGGGAAGCCAGCCCTCTGCTCCTGTGAGCACCTGGAGGGAGCCAGCTGCCCCACTGGCAAGCCTCATCGCAGGGTGTTTTAATCAGCGATGACATCAAATGCAAGGTTATTGATGCCTGCAATGTGTTTCCTTTTAGGTGAGCATGAATAAAACCTGATTCTAGTCAGGAGACCAATTTTTAACTTGCAGATTGCTTCTAAAAAGCCAGTAGAGAGGAATTATGTGTCAAAGGAAGCAAAGAAATTAGGCTAACAACTTGATTGAACTAAAATATCTGGCATGGGATAAGGAAAATCAGCTGTAGTAGTTACAGCAGCTGCAACACGGTATCACTAGGGGGGTGCTGGGGAAATTATTTTTTCCTCCCCTGCTGTAGCATTCAGGGCCTAGTCCTCCTCCTGGAGGTGAGGGCAGCTGGTGTGACCGTGGCTCTGGCAGGGAAAGCAGCTGGGTCCCTGGCCTGAGGTATCTCTGGCCTGATGTTGGGCCACACTGAGTGTTCTACAGTCTAAAATTGGGGTAAATTGGCTGCTTTGGGGATTTCTAAGGTTTTTCTTTGGGAAATATGAGTATATTCTATGTTTTCTTTCCCAAATACAGCTAGTTATCTGTTTGGGTAATAGAGGGGCAAGGGGAAATAACATCTCTCTGGAACTTCAGGAGTTGCAAGTTTGCCATGCTTCGTCATTGCTGCATGCGTGTATGGCTACCTCTTCATAGCTTTTAATAACAACACCCTTGCTGAAACAAGGCTTGGCACCTCCATTGTATAGTACTTGCATGGTTAACTAACTTGCCCCACTCTTGTCCATTCAGGCCAAGAAATAATCATTTTTCCTTCAAAGGAACTATCAGATCAGTCCTACTATCACACTGCATCTGCATTCAAGCACCCATGTCCCTTCCAAAAGTGTCTTTGCTTAGAGGTAATGAAATGGTATGAGGACTGTTTTTTTTATAATAGTACGTTAAATAAATCTCCAACATGGTATCTCCTGGCTGGCATGCGTGGCATGTTTCACCTAGATTACAGGGGAAGCAATCTGAGCCAGCTTCCAGAAAAGGTACGTGCTGTCGAGAATGAAAGGGAGCAACAAGAAAGTGTAAAATGTTTGATAAATTTAATTATTCTTACTCAATTCCTGTTCTACACAAATAAATTCTCCTTACTTGCACAAATACCCGGAAGCACTAAGGCAACTCTAGCAGTAGCATGAAGTCCTACATCGTGTTCTGCACTTTGATTTATGTATTTGTTTTCTTTCTTCTTGCAAGCCTACCAAGCTGTTTGTTTAAACTGCTTGGAAAATGCTGTACTGTATATATTATGGCTTCTTTTAGTTTTTATACTACGCTATATACAGCGCATTTAACAAATGCTAGTTATCCTTTTCAGTCTTTTCTGTGTGGTTTGCCTAAAGACAGAGAAAGGCTCCGAGTTACAGCCTTGGTTAGAAATTCAGACCCTGGGGTCATGGATTCACATGCGTTCCTCTAAAATAAAGTAGCGTTCACCTTAGGAAAGCAAATCCTGCTGTACTTTATCTATTATAAAACCAGTTCCACTGTGCTCAATTATTTTAAAATTGTATATTTCCTAGAAGAGCTCCAAGGTTTCTGTTACCTGTTTGCTGAACTTTACGGACCGCACCTGGCTGATCTGTAAGTCTTCCTGTACTGTTTCAAGTCTTTGGTTCGCTTGCTCTTTACACCTATGGATATACCATCAGATTGAAGCTCAGGGTTTTCATTCTTAAAAATCGCAGTGTTATTAAAGCAGAGATGATTGAGAGTAACTCTGGATTTGGCACTTGGGATGAAAGACCCCACATAGCTATTGCTGAGTGAATAAATACAGGCTGCCACTGGTAACCATTCTCATACTGTATTTGAATCTCAGATCAGGCCTACCTGGTGTAATTACCTTTTGAAATTCAACTCATTTGGCTGAGGGAGGAATTTGGATAACTGTGTGTGTGTGCTACAGGTTCTGCAGAGTTGCAGAGCTGTAGTATTTGTCTCTTGTTTTCCCTTTTACCTTTAATCAAGCTTTCTAATTGTCAGTCCCTACATGCTCTCAGCCCCGACCTTGATACGTACTCTTAGGGGAGGCTGGCTAAGTAATGTGAACAATTAAAAAAATAAAATGTAGGTCATTTTATTTCTCTTTAAAAGATCCTAGTTTAATTAACAGAGTTTTTTCTAGACCTTCTTCTTCCCTAGGATTTTTTTGTTTTATTTTTAAATCTAGCTAAGGGACCTCAAAGTGCTTACAGGACTAAGAAGTGCTATAATCAAACATTTTAATTTAATTCTTGATTAGCCCAGAGGTGTATCCCAAAAAGAAAGAAACAATCGTTGCACTTGTGCGTGGTGATTAAAGGTTGAGAATCTTTGAAGGATTTCTAGTTATTTTCTTGAGTTAATGACTGAGCATTCGTATGTGCCAAATTGCATATGCATTAACTCTAACCTTTAAATCTTTGTCATACGTATGATTGATTAAAAACCAGAACAGTCATAACGTATTTGACTTGGGTGCTGCCTATAAAGCATAGTGTTTTCTCATCATACTAGGATCCAATTTTAAATGCTGAGTAGGATGCTGTGGCAAAAAACCATTAGGATCCAACATTACACTGAGCGGAGATTACAGGCCACAGTGAAGTGAGCTGAGGCTGTTGTTGATTTACCTGCTCATGGAAATAGCTTGTACCTTCAAGCACCCAGAAGAACATAATAGTCTTTGTTTTCACTCCATTTCTTTCAGCATAGACAGGGAAATGAATGCTGATGTGGTGTGCCATTCCTTGAAGCTGTGCAAACAGGATCCCGGACAACCGTTTTGTCATCTCTACCCTCCTCCTAAGGTGAGTTACTTTTAAATGTTTTTCAAAGCTGCAGACTGTGGAGGGTCTTTTACACTGGAGCTGTACAGCACAGAGAGGCCTCCAGTGTACATGCAGCATGTGGGAAAAAATTTTTGACGTTGCTAGTGTGGACACTTTCAGTAATGTCTGTTTGAATGAAAACTACACAGCATACTTCATTTGTTTACATGGCTACATGCAAGGATCCCGCTGTGCGGAACCTCAACAGCATGATTCTCAAAGAGGGGAAATTACAGGGATGAATTCTTTTGTGCCAGTCTGGGTTAGAAAAGAATAGCAGGAAAAAAACTCATTTTTGCTGGATTTTATTGTTAAAGGAGTACAATAACTGCAAAACAGGTATTCAGCTGAGGTTCATCTATACTACCACATTACCGTGGCGTAACAAGTTATCCTCTCATTGCCTGATCTGCTATGACAGCCTGCATAGGCCCTAGTTACCTGCTGCAAATGCAAGGTTATTTGGTTTAGCGTAGTCCACAATGAAAGAGGCTTAAACTAACTCGCGTAACATTTTGCCACAGGCTGAAGGCGTTTACATGTGCAGTTACCACAGTTCTTACGATGTACAGTGACTAGGTATGCCATGGTAACGTGTTTGCGTGTCAGAACTCTTTGGTACTCAAACACTTACATCTAGGCATAGGTGTTTAAATAGAAATGATTTGATTTTTCTGTCATTTTGCAGCCCAATTTGCACCAAAATTTTGCAGCCCAATTTGCACCTGTGAGCAAAAGTGGTTGTTTGGCAGTTTTTCAAAAAAATGTTATACATTTAAGCACCTATTTTGGAAAATCTTTCTCTTGCCTATAGGTGAAGTCATCTTTGACTTCTAAAGGTTTCCATAAAATGTTTTATGCAAGACCTCCTCCAACAGCCATTGAAATCAATCAGAATCTTTTTATTGGCTTCAATGAGCTTTGATTCATATCCAAGAGGGATTTAGTTCTCCAGATATGAAGACCTAGAGAAATAACTGACTTCAAAGAAAGACAGTGACATTTATTTTGCAGCAGGTGTGTCCCCGACATGACTACAACGCTCCCTCCCCTACCAGTATAGAGATAATGGGTGTGCAGCCAGGCTGGCTGAGAGAAGAGGGGTTTAGTCAACAGACAGAGCCCACGCTGACTTGACTACCAGGATGTTGCAGGTGTCTTTCAGAAATTCTGTGTCCAAACTGGTAGATTAGTTTATAGATCTGTCCACCCTTCCCTAAGGTACATCAGAGCAACCCCATTGCAAGCCTTCCTTTAATGATCACCAGGTCTTTACTCCTCACAAAAATGTTCGTTAGTCTGTCATATTCTGCCCTGGTCATGGCATGATTTTTCTTCCTCGGCACTTCAGAGATCTTCCTTGTAGCAGCAGTGGAGGCCCTGTCAGAGGCTGTGGGGCCTCTTCTTTTTAATTAGCAGTCCTAAAGGTGGAGGGGAGAGTAAAGTAAAGGCCCTGGGAAGTGCCCAGATGCCCAGCAGGCATGGGAGCAATCGCAGTTGCACAGGCTTTGCCTTGCTAGCCCAAGAGTTCCATTTGGATACGGACTTCCTTGTGTAAGGGGATTAAAAATAAGTAGAAACCATCCTACACCTTGACTTCTGCCTATGTCATAAATGCAAAGCAGCTCTTCGAGTTAAAGAGGATGTGCACAATAAAACTGCTTAAAGAGACGAGTGGACTATTTGTAGAAGCAAAAAAATTTCCCTAACTGAGCAGGTTGTGAAACTCAAGGCAATACCTGAAGGTCAAACATAGCTCTATACAGGCACTGAATCAGCTCCATCCAGGGTGAACTGGACGTTTTAGCAAGCAGGGGTGGCTTTTTGGCAATCTCAAGAGCATTTGTTGTCACTGTCTTTATTTTTATTTTTTTTGCACAATCAGTCTTTTCAGTTCTCCCCACCTTCAGTGCTGCACAATGGACTAGGCTGAGGAGCTTGGATCAAGGGTCTGTTTAAACAAAGGTGGCTTCATACAGAAGTTAAGAAGTCTGTGGTGAAGTCCTCAACTTACCACTACCAGAGAGGACAGGCCATCACGCACAGGGTTCCTATCAAATCTTTGGGTTACGCTTCCCATCTCGTAGAGCAGATAAGGGACCCAGTTGCTGACTCCTTTTGCCTCCAGTAACAACTCCATTAATTACGCTTTCAGCAAGAAAAATGTCTGCAGGTATTTTCTTTCTTTTTTTTTTTTTTTTTTTCTCTTTAACAAAATTTGGACTTTCATTGGCATGGCCTGGAGACTGTCCCTCTTAGTGTATGGCTCCAGCAAGCACTCTCCCTTCCAAGTGGTGTTCGTATCCTACTTTCTGTCAAACTTCCTTTGTCTCTCACCGAGGGTAAAGGAGATGGATTAACAAAATGATTTTTTTCTACCCAAACACTACCCTCAATTTTTAACACTTCTGGTGCCCCAAGAAAGTGCGAGGGGAGGAGAGGAGCTGTATTGAGAATTCATGCTCAAGTGGATGACAAATTACCAACAGTAACCCTGTGACAAGTCAGACTGAGTAAAGATGAATTATGGGTGAAAAAATTAATATACAGTCAGAGACGCATGCATAAAATGCAGTTTACCTCACATTTGCTTCTTCGGTTTGTAATTTGATTGATCACTTCAGTTATATGAGCCTGCAAATGTTGGCTCAGTCCCCTGCCAAGTATTTGAACAAGACTTTAATACTAATGGCTGTTTTGTTCAACTCTATTGATTTTTAGCTACATCATTTATTCATTTAGGCTTTTGAATGCACGTTTTCCCAGAATTAGTACAGTGTTTGTACTGGCGAAGTGAGCACAATGAATGTGGAGTTGTAAAGCAGCAGAATATTCTGTTTTCCATAGTCTTTAATGGGGTAAACATCAACATATAGTGGCTTTTTCAATCAATAGATTATTTTGTTGTGTTTCTGTAGTGTTCCTCCAGTAAGGTCACGTCTACCAAGGAGGTGAGAGTCACTGCTTCAGAGGCCTAGCAAACTATCTACGTAATTGAGACATTGTAAACCAAGTAAATGATACATGAATTATATTACATACTTCCCTGATCTCTGACAAATTAGCACAAATTAATTTTTTGCCAACCTGCCTGGAGCCATTAGTGCTCTGTGATTATCGTAGGAGACTTGGCTCTAATTAGGAATAAAATATATCGCTCTATTCACAGAGAGTGAAATGCTCTCAGCCGAGAGCAGTCTAACTGGCATGCTCCTGGGAGGACGGCCCTAGGGCAAGTGCAATGGGGGACGCACGGAGCTGCATGCCAGCTCTCTGCCAGGAACAGGCACCTTCCTTGCATGGGCACCGCGTGTTTCTGGTGTGCAGAGACCTCCGGGGAGCTTGGGCTGGTTGTGGCACCAGCCCACATGCTACCTCCTCAGTTGGGACACGTGGGCTTGTCTCACTGTGGCCTCCCTGCAGTTGTCTGCACACGGCTGCCTGGTTTTTCAGTAAGGAGGCAGGGGGGGTGCGCTGCGCTCTGTGCTTGGATATTGCTGTCTGTGTTACTCACACCTTCAGGCTTTCCCAGGCTCTCCAGGAGCATCTTGATACCCTGTTGCTGTTAACACTCAGGAAGTTGACATCCAAGACATCTTTCTAGCTCTAGGGATAAATTCTTCCATCATAGACCTGGAAATTCCCTTCCATGCATGGAAAGAGAAGCGTCTCCACCTGCTTTGCACACTTGCGAGACCGTTTAAGCAGCTCTACAGCAAATCCCTGTCCTTGGGATTACTGGCCTTAAGAGCCAATAATGCCTAGTGGATCTATTTGGGGTTCGCAAAGAGACCAAATTTAGGTATAATACGTGAGGTATTGTAGAGATATCCATATCTGCTTGTGCTCTGGTGGGCAGTTTCAGGAGCAGACCCTGCCACTGGTGGAGACAGAGGAAGGAGTGCTTGCTGTCCTTGGGGATCACCCACATAGCTGTGTGAGGCAGTTGAGTGTGTAGACCTTACTCTTAATAAGGCCCTGTAAACCATTTATTGTCACCAGTAGCCCACAGACCAGAATCTAGCCCAGTGAAAGACGTGCACATATGTGTGCATTTGTAGGCTCTCCTACTGCACGTTTCTCAAGTTACAGGATGTTCTCACCCCTTAGTATGGGAGCAGTGACACTGCAGGCTCCTCCAGGTCAAGAAGGAAAATAATATGGTATGTTAGGAGTAAATGTGCAGACTTACAATAGTTAATTGAAGTCTAGTGAATAGCTAAAATTGCTGTAATATGCCTCTTGATTTCAGGTACATCAAGAGAGTGTACTCATTGGCTGCAATAGAATACTGAAATACTGACAGTGGCCAAAAGTATCCAAGCTATCCCATTTAGGGTGGCTAGATATTGTCTTTGTAAAAAATGTTTGTCGGCTCAGGCGGTGGAGGACTCTCTGTACCAGGTCCCATGATAGGGGAACGTTCCTCTGCTGCGTGATAGGGACTGAGGTAGGGGCAGGGATTTGAAGCTCTGCCTACCATGCTCCTGTTCGAGCCTGAGGAGTGAGTAGATTTGCAGAAGATTTTTGTCAGCTTGTCTCTAGATTGTCTTGAGCCAGCTGGCCTGTTGAATTAAAAGACAACACTTTAATTGACTTAGTTTGGGCCAGGATAATGACTTATCTTCAGCACTGGAGTCCTATGGCTGCTGATCTCTTAAACAGTCTGTGCTGGAAGGCGTTTTTACTCTTCTTTCTGCCTTTCAAAATGCCTCTTTTGCTCTCTGAGCACTCTGGGGCTTTGTCTGCTCCAGCTTTTTAGAGACCTTGTGATTGCAGACTTTAGCCACGTCTCCAGTAGTAGGATGTTGCTGGTAGCTCTAAACTGACAGTATAGCGGCATTTCATGTCAGCAAATGCAGATATATTTATGCTAATGTCATTTATGCCCTTTATCTTACCAAAATAAACTTCACTGCCAGAAGTGCTTATACCGGTCCATCTACTGAGTCTTTCACTGTCTTTGTAAAAATAAAAAC